ACTTTCAGGGTACAACCTTGGCCTCATCTATGGAGCTGTGGTTGGGGGCTTAAAGGGAGCGTTTCTTGTGACTAAATCCTGATAAAAAGTATTCCTTTGGTTGGCTTAAATCACTCGATTATCCACTTACTTAAATTGTTGCTCCTTGCCTTGTTCCTTGGCAGACTGTATTAGCTGTTGCTAAGTTTAATCAATAGATTAAACTACCTGTTAGTAGCCTCAGTTTCAGAATTGATAACAGTTTATTTTAGGGCCAGAGACTGCCTTTTGATAGCTGAATAACATGAAAGTCGCTTGGCTTTCCTCGGATCGATAAGATATGAATGAAGGAAATGGCAAATTATCGCGGCAATAGAAAAAGAAACCAAAAATAAACAGATCTGGGGGAACAGTTCAACGAACCAAGAAGTCAACGGAGAGAGAGAGAGAGAGAGAGGGTGAAGGTATAGTGTATGATCTACCCCAACGATGATGGGATGATGATCTATAACAGGGAAAACGTGTCATAGCCGGAGCTAGAAAATCAACGAACCATAAAACGAACAACAGCCCAAGCATATCGATACGGCTGTGTGGCCTGGCCGGGCCGGGCCTGGCCCCCTATCATAACCCCGTGAACCCCGTGGGCTGCCGCCTCTCTCCCCCTTCAGTGCATTTGTTGACTTAATTGTTATCTCGCTTTCCTGCTTTCCCTGTGGCACAAATTGTTCGTGTTTGACAAGTAGTTGTCAACAATTTTTGATAAAAACGAAATGAAATTATTATGTGTGACATGCAGGGGCCGCCCCACCACTCCCCTCTGCAACAGTCACTCTTCTGTTCCTCTCTCCCTCCTCCACGCTAGAGCGACAACCCAAACGGATGTATTTATTTGTGTGTTGGGTGTTGAATTCTCTCTTATAAATTTATTAGTGAATTTATGAGCCTCACCAATCGTTTTACCATTCGCTTGCTCTTCTGTGACCCGTGTATTGCATTTTGTTTTTTTTTTTTTTTTGTTTTTTTGTCGACAAGTCAATTGATTTTCATCCATGGCTGTAAATTATACTACTTGAAAAGTATACCGAACATAACATTTTTGGGGATTATACTCGCAGTAGTTGTATATTTCTTAGAGTAAATATTTATTGAGAAATGCTCGTAAATCAGAAAGAAAAGAATATATATTTCCAAAGTATTTTCTCACTTTGCAAAGGGGTCTTTAGAGTGCTCTATAGACAGATATAGATCGGTACAAACCCTAAATTTAATATCAAATAAAATTATCAAAAATATTTGTAGTGTTCCGCTTTCCTTCGCTGGTGTTGCTCGGCAGAGAGAACCTCTCACCTCTCTCTTGCTTCTGTAAAATTGTAACTTCCTCTTAATGCCACGATGCCCATGATCCTCTCTCTGAGCGATCAGCAGTGGAATCGGAAAAGACAAGAATAACGGAGCAGTGCAGAGAAGTAGGAGAATTGGAACCAGCAGCAGATCATGCACTGAAAGTAACTACTAATCGAATCAAACACTAATTTAACTTTCATATGCACTCATAGTACAGTGTCTATCAAAAGTGCAATTCCACACAAGTTTCTGTTTTAATAAACGCCATAAGTCGTGAGCCTCCTCACACTCTCTGGCGTATCCAACGTTTATTTTCTTCCCTCCTGATTATCCGCACATTTACTGGAAACTGTGGAAATTGTGGAAATTGAAAATGCCTACAAGTAGCATACGCTGCTACTGCAGAGAGGGGAAAAGGGAGAGAGATAGAGATTGTGGTAGGAGTAAAGGACTCTCGAAATATGTCAAGGTATGCACAAAATCCACTACCAGAGCCAAGTGTTTTGAGGTCTAAGCGCTTTCTTGGCTTGAAGCCAAAACTTGGCTAATGCCAAAAGACAGAAGAACCACAGCGGAGCCACCCACTGCTGCCGCTGCCGCTGCTGCTGCTTTCCCAACCTCCCCCACTCCTGTCTCCTCTCTCTCTCTATATCTTTCTTCGTTGTACGGTGAAGACAATTACAGTAAACAAATTCGCACACGTCGTCACGTTGCATTTGCGGTGACAGGCTGCACAACAAGGCGGCCTAAAAGTACTAGTAGAGCGTCGGAGTGGCACTGGCACTGGCAGTGCGGTGCAACGTCTATGACAGGAGGAGGTAATGGTGTCAGTGCCGCTCCCTATCCCTATCCCTGCCCTGCCCTGCCCCCTCCTTCTGGGCCGTATCGCATGCGGTCACGGCCATGTGCCTTGATATTTTTGGCAGAACCATGCATGAGATTTGCATTTTTTACACCCCCAAAACCCTCATAGCTATCTCCCATCTCCCCGTCTCCTCTCTTCTCTCTCTATTCTCAATGATTCTCGGCTCTATTCTGTTCTGCCTTCTCTGCTACTTTCCCCCCCCCCTCCCCTACCCTACTTTCCTCCCCTCTTTAGGTTTCTTTGCAATTTGGCAGCTCGTTGCCAGAAACATTTTGCCATAGCATACTTTTCTGGGCCACGTCATGATATATGCATGCAGCTAAGTGTGTGTGTGTGTGTGGCATGTGGCACATATGTGTGGCTGTGTGTGGCATGCATGCCTGCCACGTTGCAGCAATTGAATTGAATTTCTGTTGCTCGAGTTTTGAGCTCTTGAGCGCCACAAAAGGAGAGTTTTTGAAGGCACCCGCCACCCGGCGGCAATCCAAAACGGCAGCAAAAAGAATTCCCCAACCAAACACACACGTTCGGTGGCAGAGGTTCTAACTTGCAACCGACTGCTGCTGCTGCTGCTGCTCCTGCTGCTGCAGGGTGGAGTAGCTCTGCTGTGACTCACTCACTCGCCCTGACTGAATGACGCCTCTGTGTCTGTGGCCTCCAATTTTTCTGGCCAAATGCCATGTGAGGACGGGAGAATAGATGCCAGATTTATGGCCCAGCAGTTGGTAAAACGCATAAACACATCATGGTCAAAAGCAGCAGCAGGAGCCACAGCCTTGAGGGCTGAATCCTGCATCCTTCCTTACATCCTTCCTGCGCCCCTAAATCGATGAAGTTGTACAATGCAATCGGAAAATAAGAGCGAAAAATGTTGACAAACAATCTTTTACAACTTGAATATTCGTTTGGGGTTTGCCAGCTTCCCTCTCTGTCAATCAATTGGACTGACGGACCTCAGGTCAATCCGATGAAAAGGCAGCTGCTTCTGGTCTTGAAAGGAGGAGTGGAGTCCCTTGTGATTTTCGATTGATTCTTGCTACATTTAGCATGCATCATCCACATGCTGGAAGATATGTGTCACGGCCTTGCGGCTGTCTCTCGTGTGCAACTACTATATTGATGTGTTTGTTTTTTCAGCACAAAAATAGCTAGTGACTGCACTCCAAAGTACGAATTCATCTGCGAGCGATGACGTCTGCCTTTTGTGCCCAGTGCCGATTGCCGATTCCCCATTCCAAATTCATTTCATTTGCTAATTTTATGACAGCATAACAACAGCAAAACATATGGGCACCGAATCGGGGCACTCAGATACTCGTATGTACATTTGCATATGTGACTGTGGATCTGTCGATCTGTGGCTCTGTGGCTCCGTGGCCCTCTAGCTATGAGGTGCTGCTGCGGCATTCACATAAACATCAAGTAAAGGCCATTAATTTAAATTATAAACTATAAAAAGACAGAGAAACAGCCTGACAACCGACCATAAAAGTCGCTTTGCTGCTCTCCGCTTTGCTGTCGATGTTGCAGCTTGTCATAAAAAGCTTGTCACACGATTTGTGTTTTGTCTTTGGGAAAGCCCACACGCCAGAAGTGGGTGTAAGGGAGGGGAGGGAAGGGGGCTTATACCATTAGTGTCTGTATCTCTGTGATTAACACATGTCCTCGAGATTGGGGATTGTATTTCATTTGCTGCAAAATAGGATAAAACAATGAAAAAGTTGGCCCACAAAACAATTTTCTTTTCAATTTCTAAAGCGTCTTGCCTGTAAGCCTTGGCAATCAGCGGGTCTTTTGTTGATTTATTTACGAGTGTATATATTGCCCCAGTTTGTGGCACCACTTCCCCCTTTCTGCGGATCTTTCTCCGACTCTTTCGCTGCCTCGCTTTTCATTAGAGAGATATTTTCTAGGGCACAACGATTAGTAAGTTGTAAATGGTTTTAGCTGCAACAATCCTCTGTCATTAGCAGGAACAGCAGCAGACCCACAAAGTGTGGCATGCGCCGTGCTTTGCGGAAAAACAATCATCGCTGCAGCCACTTTGTGGCATGCTGTGAATTTTATGGCCAAAAACGGTTCCTCGATTTGCCAGCCGTTGCAATTTGAAGCAATTTAAACGTTATTAACAAATGAAACATCTCTAAACGAAACAGCAATTCATATTTCTCTCGTATTTATTTATTTAGATAAATGGCCAGCGCCCACGTCGCTGCATGCCAGCAACATGATGGGTGGCAATTGTTGTTGCTGCTGTTGCTGTTGTTGTTGTTTTTGTTATTGGCCAACACGCCCACTACTACCAAAAACTTGAACCCATAAACAATTAAGCGAGAGAGAGAGAGAGATAGCCAGCCCACACACAAAACGATAGAGATACAATAATCGTTGAGAGGCAGAGACCTGGGGAGTAAATGTTTGATTTGTGCGATAATTTGAAAATGATACGCGGCGCACCGCACCTAATGATGAAATACTCGTAAGAAGATGATCTGTATGAGTGTGAGTGTGGATGTAACGTGGGTGGCAGGGATGGGAAATTAAAGTGGGAGGAAGTCAATGAGTGGCTGGCTGCTAACAGGTCAAAGGGGGAGGACAATCATCATCTGAAACCTATTAGCATCACATAGTAGCACAATTCAAATAATTATTAAATTACGAAAGAGGCACAAATTAACCCTACCAACCAATATAATATATATATATATATAAATACAATATTTTGAACACAAATTAACTATAATTCAAGATTCATATTTCCAAAATTCCTACTCGTATCCAACTAATTTTTGCTTGCTTTTTTTCATAGGCGCCATTTGCGGTGGAAGCTGCTGCAGCAATGCCACAGAGATGGAGCTCCGCCAGAAGGCCTCGGGAATGTTTGAGCAGCTGCTGCATCATCATACGAGCAGCCTGCGCGGGATCCTAGCGGATAATGCCAACCAATTCCAGAGTGAGTATTAGATTTCAGCATCCCAACCATTACAGAGAGTGCTAAGCAGGGAGGGTCCTGGTCCTGGTCCCGGTCCCGGTCTTGTCCTTCCTTTCTATGCAAATAATTCGCTGAAAAGTCTGGAAACTTTTCTGTTTTCTACTGCTGTTTTTCTTTTTTGTGCAAGCGATAGACCGAACGAGTGTACATTTTCGTGGCAATAAATAATTTATCATATGCAAATGTGTCCTCCCCCGTTCAAGGGTTCTCTGGGCAGGGCACACGAAATTATGATGATAAAAAGTTGAAGCCTTAAAAGCCTTGCGAAAAAGTGGAAGTTAAACCAAATTAAGCTTCGAAATGCGAACAAAGCGAAATGTGAAATTGATTTGTAATTTGAATTTGTATGCAGATCAAAGCGACTGTATAATGCTGACAGATATACGACCATACGTAAGGGGTATATAGATAATTCATAAACAGACTTCTGGCTGTTTGGGAATGCAACAAACGCGACTCGGACTCGGACTCGGTCTCGGTCTCGGCTCTCGGGTACTGCATCTAATTAAAAAGGCATTAAATAATGTTGTTGTCGTTGTCCCTTTTTTTTATATTTTTGTATTTTGTGCAAAACTTTGTCTGGGTCACGTTTTGGGGCAGCAGCAGGACCCCCTCCTTCTAGCTTTCCCCCCGTTTCACACACAATGCCTGCAAATTGTTGTCGTACATGCTGTAAATCTCGCTTCACTTTAAGGCGTGCCCCTGCCTCCAGAGGGTGTTCGGGAGGGTGCTGTTTCCCCGTTTCTGCTGTTCTTTCATTGTTGTTCTTCTCGCGGGGTTCTGGGTCTCGCGGTGCTCTCGGGTCGCTGAGTCTCTGCAGTTCTTGGAACTGGGCTCGCGCATTCAACAAAAAGACTTTAAACACGCCTTCCTTGTCCGCGTGTACAGTCACTCACATAATGTACATATATGTACTTGAATATCCGCTATATGTATACAAATTTGTTGAATTTTGTTTGCATTTTATGTGTGTTTTTGTGGTTTGGTGTTGTCATCTGCTTAATTTATGCCATCCCATTGATTCATTTGGATTCGCCTTGGGGATGGGCTATTTGGGATTGGGGATTGGGGATTGGGGACTGCGAATGGGGTGCTCATTAAAGTCTGAGTCAACACCAAAAGAGGTGCTGCTGCATGTATGGATATGAGTGTTCAGCAAGACAAGTAAGATTATTCTGATATGTACGAGCGGGTATATGGGTTCCAGAGGTGTCCTATTCAATAGTTGCACTCACTTATTGCAGCACAAATATGTAGTATTAAGGGTGTAGGGCATTGAAAGCTGACTGCTGCTGAGTGATCGTCGATCCCCCATTGTAGTAGCGTAATCAATAGCCCCATTTACAACCCACAACCCATTTACAGGGTATCACAAAACACTTCATGTGTTTAGCATTCAATTTCCATTCTTCAATTGCTTTTGCTTGCTCGGGGAGGGGTGGTGGGAAGAGGTGATGTCAAAGCGAAGAAAAATCCCACGTTTCAATATAAAAATGCAAAAAAAAAAAAACTGAAAATTAAAATGCAATCAGCAAAGTCATTTAGCTTAGCATTTGAGCCATAAACACGAACAATTATTATTGATCAACCAAATTGGTAAAGCAATTCCAAGCCGAAAGTCCGTGCTCGTTTGATGAATGAATGGATTCAATCAATGACGTTTGTGTGCAGTGAATGCTTCTCTCAAGATTTATGAAGCGTTTTAATGGCAATATAATTCCGTAGAGCAAGTTGAGCTTCAATTTAGCCTGGAACAATGAGAGGCTATGAACAGTAGGTGTTTTCCATACACTGTGTGTGTGTGTGTGTGTGTGTTCTGCTGTGATAAGAGATAACAAGTTTTCCCTGCATTTTACCTTTTCATTTTGCTTATCGCTCGGTTTATGGACTGCCACGCGCGTCTCCTTAGTTGCAGCAGCAGTAGCAGCAGCAGAGTGGCCATAAAAATTGATTTACTTGCCGCCGACGCCGGCCAAAGATTGTGGCTGGCAGAAACCCTGCGTATGCGTGATATTCACTGGGGGTGGAACCCACAAAAAGTGGTGCACCTATAAAATTTTATGCATTTCTTTGGTGCAATTCCGCTGGTTTTGCCTCTCGTAAAATATTATAGTTTTGTCCAACAAATAAATGCATATTTCTATTTTGTGGCATTAACATTACAGCAGGAGTGGCAATGGCTTTGTGTGAGTGTGTGTGTGTGTGTGGCATATGCCATACAAGTCCCAGGGTTTCCTTCCTGTAACTCTCCCGCTCTTGCATCTCTCCTTCTCTTCTGGTCTTCTGGTCGTCTGGTTCTATCTCTCTCTTTCCGTTTCCGCGTGCCCATTGTTTGCCGGATTGCATTTCTCCTCCATCCTTTGTGTTTGATTTTCTCTCTCTCTCTCCCTCTGTTTCTCTTGTGTTTGGCGTATTATTATTTTTAAGCAAGTATTTGCGTGTTTAAACACGTTTCGGAGCTTACGAATTATATGGGTAGCCCCCAATCTCCAATTCCCAAGCAGCAGCAGCAGCACCACCAGAGCCTCTAGCTCTGGCTCCTCCAACGCATTGCAGCTACGCTGCACTTACCACCGCCACAGCCCCCATGTTCACGTTCACGTTCCTGTCATCGCCATCACCATCATCATCATCATCATCCGGCGTTGTCGCTGTCGTCTTTGGTGGCGTTGCTCACGCGCTTAATGCGTTTCCCTGGCACCTGGTCATGGGCGTGCGCCTGCATAAAATGCTTCCAAATGCTGACTTACGGCACAACTTTTTGGGGGCCCTCTCAGAGGCAATAAAAACAAACAGCAAGAGGAAACATAGAAGCTTCAGGCATCGAAGTTTTGGATACCCTACCCCTGGCACTGGAGCAGCAGAATGTGTGAAAAGTTTAAACCAAAAGGATACAAATTTCCCATAGAAAAGGGCAGACAGATGCAGGGCTACATCCTCAATCGGATATTCTAATGCGGATCAGGCGTATATATGTATTATGTTTTGGCATAGAAAATGCTATCCTATCCTTGTCTGCGATGGCAAACATCCGTTGAAAATCAAAAACACCTCTCCTCTTTAGAATTGCTAAAATTATTTCTTTATTTTTGTGGCAGCTGCAACAACAGCCAACAGCCAACTGAAACAGCAACAACAACAGCAACAGCAATGCGTGCAGTTTCATAAGTTGCAACTTTCGTGGCGTTGCACACGCCACGCCACTCCTTGCACACTCCCCCTACCCTCTTGCCGACCCTCAGGGCCAGGGCTTAAGTCTGTTTTTGGCCATATCTTGTGCTCTGGCTGCTGCCTGCTGCCTGCCTTCTTGTCTTTACGGCTAAAGTGGTTTTTTGGCCGCCATCGCTTGTTAGCCGCCTTTTTGTTTGTGTTGTCTTGTCACACAGAGAGAGAGTGCAACGCCAAGTGGAAGGTTGCTGTTTGCAAGTGCCACAGCGCGTTGCAATTGTAGCTGCAGTTGCCACAGTGGAGCTTGGTGTAAGCTTGGGATCTGCTCCAGAGTTATTGAAAAGTGGTTTTCCCGTAACGAAATGTGTGCGCAACATGATTGAGCAGAGATTGGAATTATTTGAGATTATTTGTAGCTTTCATCTGTGGTTTACCCTTTTATTCGTCTGTTAAATCTTTTTCCAGTCCACGAGTCAATCGCCAGTGTGACCTTTTAGCTGCAGTTTCTAAGGGGAAATCGGCACAGGAAAGCATCTGCCAACACCTGCAGATACTCGTAATGTTCCATTCGCCAGATACTTTCTGTTCTAACGCACAACAAACCGGTTGTCATCTCTGGCTTAATGTTAATTATTTGCAGAATTTGGAGCTAATGGAGCCCCCGCTTCAGGTCTTCAACTCGTTTTCGTAATTAGCAAAAACAAATCTCGACAGAAAATAAATAAAAGCCCTAGGCAAAAGTGGAGTCATTTTGTCTGCCACTTTTTCGCTGTGTGTGTGTGTCTATGTCATATGTCCACATATGTATGTGTGTGTGTGTGTGTGTGTGTCTGTCTATATAATTATTATAATTAGTTGCTTGGCAAATTAAATGCTGAAAGCTCGCGCTTATAATTAACGCGGCACCAAAAACGGAAGGCGAACATGAGAGGCAAAAGCTTCAAGACAGTGCATGGCAGAGCTAGAGAGAGAGAGAGAGAGAGAGAATGTGGCAGAAGGCAGATCAAATAACGTTCTGAGAGTAGCAACCATATGCTTTGAAGCATTTCAATATGTTAGAAAGAAGAGCAAAAAGCCAGAAAATAAAAAAGGTGGACTCAAGCGGTGGCCAGCACTTCAGCCACAGCTCCACTTCATGCTCCAGCTACAGCTACAGCTACAGATCTACCTACACTTGAGGCACAGCTACAGCTTCAGCTACATCTCCAACAATGAAAAGTCATCCAATTACTTTGACATTGTGTAGAGAGGCACCAAAGAGGCACCAGGGCCAGGCCCCTTTTGGCTGGGTAAGAAGATGCTGCTGCTGCTGCTGCTGCCGCTGCTTGCTCTTCCTCACACAGCTGTTGGAGTGGTGCCCCCCCCTCCGGACACGCTGGCGGTGTATGATGGCCCGATGGCCGGATGGCTGAATTGCTGGATGGATTGTTGGGGATATGCCTGTAGGCTGTAGGCTGTGGAGGGGCGTGTCGACTTGGCACGCCTGCAGATAGCTAGTTACAATACATGCACTTAACCACTGACACTGGCCAAGCCAAGCCGGCCCAACGCCAGAACCGGCACAGTGGTGCGCAGATACGGATACATTTTTGGATCTTCCGAATCTGGGGGTTTCCTTTATAATAATGGAAAACTAAATGGAAATGGAATTTTTCTGCTTTTGGCAGCAGATTTATTTATTATATTTATTACTATATTTATACTGCAAACTATCTTTGTATATCTCAGTGTCCCCACAATGAAGATGATCATCGAAAGCCCTGAAAAATCAGTTTAATTTCATCAAATCTTCTGACCAACAACCACTGTTCCCCGTGCGACTGAGAAGGCCACTTCCCTGAGTCTGAGACCCTGAGACATTGCCAGCAGCCGGTCGCAGAAGAACATCCAAGAGAGAGCTGCTTAAACCCGCCAGACGGACAGACGACTGCAAGGCAGAAGGCAGGGGGCATGGGGCAGGTTCAAAACGAAACCTAAACGCGGCTAAAAAGCTAAGCTACAGACAGGCAAAAAAAACTGCAGAGAGTAGAGAGAAAGAAATGAAGAGCACTAACAAAGTTGCTTTGGCATTCATAAGGCGGCAACACGATGGATACCAGAGCACAGAGGGATAGAGGGGATGGATAGAGAGAGACCCAAGCAGAGGCCAGAGCCAAAGACCAGGCCAGAACCACCGACACCGACTCTTTTGGACGGATGGGATGGTATAGGATGGTTAGAGCCGAAGAAATACATGCATATAAAATGCAAATAAAAAATGCGGCAGATACTAAAATTGTAATATCCGCACAGGAACGGAACGCGGGCAACAAATACTCGTATAAGCAGCAGCAGCAGCATGCCCCCAAGGGGCATGGCAGAGTGGCAAAAGAAATACAAAATATAAGAAAAACAAAAACAAAAAGCGGGCAAAAATAAAAACTAAACCTGTGGGCTGTGCCTCGTCGTATGTGTATGTGTGTGTGTGTGTGTGTGTGTGTGTTGCATATTTGCCATGGCGTGGGAAACAACAACGTTGCCTGCCACACACCAAACAGCGAGAAAGAGAGAGAGAGAGACAGAGAGAGAGAACTGTGCCCCATCTGCCACTGCCTTCAGCCTTCAGACAGAGCCGCCTCCCGCATTTGCTTTTGGGGCTTGGCCAGGGGGCCCCTAAACCGGTCGAAACCAGGAGAACAGGGTATCCGGGAATGGGAATGGGAATTGGGGAATGGGGATGCATGGCATGCTAATCTCTCGCTCCACACGCCGCTCCTTCTAATGAAGCAATGAAGAAGCCCGATGTTTGCTCTAGGAATAGCTGCGGAGCTAAAAGCGAAACTGGGGAGTCGCTTGGCAACTGGTACTTGGACTTGGATTCCTGCTCTCCCTCTGTCTCCCTCTCTGCATCTGTAACTACATTTGCCGCACATTGCTGATGTTTCGGGCACGAGTGGGAGAGGGAGAGCCAGTCAACCAACGTTGTCTAATTCAATTTGATTTTATTTTTACCCCACTAGAGGAGAGGGACACCGGAACACTCCGGGGCAGTCCTTCATGTGTGACGAAGTAAAACCAACTTTCTGAACTTCAAAAAAAAAAAAAACAAACAAACCCACAGGCTTAATGAAATGTTCATGTTTCATTGGCCAAAAGCCATTTGCTTGGATTTCAAATTGCAACCTGCTCGAAAAAGCAATAAAAGGATTCGCCCGAAATTTAATTGACAGAAAATGTCAGAAAGTAAGCAAAATAGATGCAAAGATACGATGTATCCAGATATGGACGTATGTATAGATAAAGATGGTTATACAGTTTCACTGAAATTGCAATTAGTGGCAAAACCAAACACTGCAACACACACACACACACACAGAGAGAGAGAGAGAGAGATACAGTTACAGAGAAATGTCCAGCAAATTGCACACAATGTCTGTGGCTGGCCCTATGGCCCTGTGGCTGTGTGCCCGCAGGTGAAGTGCCGAGTTAACAATTTATGAGATACAGAGATACAAAGAGATACAAATGTAACCCAAACTATCTGTAAAGTGAGCCATGCCTTTAAGCATTTGTGTGTGTGTGTGTGTGTGTGGGGGCCCAAAACCCCAACTTAATTGAGCATATTAAGCCAACAATAGCAGCTGTAACAATATTCTCGTATCGTATGTCTTGCAACATCAGCTAAATTCAATTGACAAGTGCCCCCAGCTCCCAGCCCCACCCTCTCCCCTTCTGTGGAGAGTTCATTAAAATTGTAATTAAGCAGCAGGGCAATGGATGTGGCAAAGACACTTTCAAATGCTTAAATATTCGTATCTGCCGTCTCTGGAGATGGAATGCCTTTCAGATACAAACATCGATTACAATTATTTCACTTGTCGAATCTTTGGTCAATTGACAATCATTTCAAGCTGTCGATGCTGTGACTTTGAGCGAAATATTGTTCATATCAATTGGAATAAAGCAATAAAGATTCGGGTTTTTATTGCAATTCTTAAACATTTCAAGAGCTTTGCTGTTGGGGTTTTCTGGGTTAACATTATTTGGAATTACTTACTTAATATAGATGTTGTGCATATTTGAAATATCATGTTTCAAGTGCATGTTTCATTATTTATTACTATTATTATTCTATATTGAAATTGAAGCCTCTAAGTTCGATTTAAAGATACCCCCACTAGAAGCAGTTTCAGTCGGTAAAGTAATATTCCAGATACATTATATATTCAGTCAATAAAAGAGTTTCCTGGGCAGGTTCCCATCATGTAATTGATAGACACTTGCCGTTGTAGTTCTTTTCCTGAGGGAAATTTCCCAGAAATTCCATTCAAAATTCCATTAATTTTAAGGTACTGAAAGGTGCAGTTCGTTTTGCAGATGTTTTATATATTCAATCAAAAATTCAATTTTAGGCATGTCAATCATGTGATTGATGGACAATTATAGCTGTGCTTCCTATTCCCGTCTAAAATTCCATGGAAATTCCATTTAAAGGAGTAGGTTCTACTCGCGCCGTTGACTGGATTAATTTTTCCTTCAATAAATGGTATTTTGTGAGGCATTTCAATTATTTAATTGAGGGACAAACAATTTCAATCTTTACTTCCTTTCTGGAGTTATGACAAGAGGCGGACTTTCATCTACATCTGCCACCCCTTCGCTACGCCCCAATCGATTCCCCTCTCTGCCCATCTCTGAGACTGTACTTAATGGTTCACTTTGTGCCTGTGTGCTTCCCCGCCGATTTAATGGGCCAATCATCTATCCATCGTGTGAGAATGCATATCCGCGCATCCACACGCTCGGTGGTCGATGCGGATGGGGGAGGGGATCTGCTCAATAGTGGTGGGGGGGACTGGTGTCAATAATTAAATGTTTCCGCCCGAGTCGATGCGGCGGCTGTGCCACGTCAATGAGATTAGCGACAGGATGTGTGAGTGCTGCTACCTTCCCTTCCCCCAAAAACCCCCCCGCCGTTCCCCTCATGTCCTCTCTATCAACCGTCGATTTCTGTTCTGTGACGTTTGTGGTCTACTGTGGTGTTGCGTGCTGTGGCTATCATCGTTATTATTATTATTGTCATTTTGTATCGCGGGCGCGTTAAATCAATTGATTGTCTTGTGTGTGTTTATCGCATCCTGGGGGCAGCAGCACCAGCAATTGTCAGCAATTGATAAATGATTAGCACAGCTCCAGCAGATGGTGGGGAGACCCCAGCCGACCACTCCTACCCCCAGAGAATGGCGGGACCCCTCCCCTCGATGGATCATTGTTTGTTTTTGGTCGCCACTCTACAAAGAAATCGCAACTGTTGCTAATTAGAAAAGGGTAACACTTCCACTCGCTCTGCTCCCCCAGCAGATGACGCATCAAAGGCTATTGGCCGATAAAAACCCGAATCCGAACTCGAACTCGAACCCCAAATGCAGAAACAGAAACAGAGACCCAGAGCCGCGACCTCGCTGTCTGACAGCAGAGAGACCCCAAAGTGAGGCCCAAGCGCAGGCCAAGCCCAGAAACAAAATAAAAATATAAATAAAAAAGCAGAAGAAGAAATATTCAAACTCTGAGAACGGAAATGCCTCAACATCAAAATCAAAATGAGCCGCAAAAAAAACGAAAAAAATAACTAAGAACACAAAGAACTACAGAAAACACTTTTGTGGATGTCAAAATGTTGTTTTTGTTTCTGTTTCTGTTTGGTTTGGTTTGGGTTTCGGTTTGGTTCTTTTGTTGCCAATTAACAAAAAGATTGACACTTTCGTTTGAAAACGATACACACACACACACGCCCCCCCTGACAGGGGACACAGTATTGCAATTTAAAGGCCAAAGGGGCGGGGGCGGAGCTAGGGGGGGTGTCTGTGTGTATGTGTGAGAAATCACACGGCAATTTGACAGTTTTTTTTTCTTTTCTGTTTGCTTGCAAATGTTATCTCCGTCCATGCGATCCAACAGCTTTCTGACCATTTGTAATCTGGCGATAATGACAGGCTGACTGCCTGACTGCCTAACTGCCTGCCAGCCAGAGAGGAGTGTAGTATCTGTATCTGCTGGATCTGTATCTGCTGTATCTACTGTATCTATCGATACCTGTTTGTGTATCCGAGGCACAAGTGTTGCTGACACCTTGACAGATATCAGGATTGTGTGTCACATTATGCAGGGGGTTGTTTATTTCTTTGCGATTAGCATTTGCATATTGAGGGAATTTTGTTGCCCAAACTGAATGGCAGATTGATGGGAGATACAGTGGGAAATATTGTATGGAAGAAATAACGCGGCAATGATTGACGGCAATTAAGGAAAACTTTTATGAGCACAATTCCCCAGCTTGCCAAAGCTAGAGAGACCCATAGAAAAGCATTAAATTTGATTTCATTAACTAAAAGCCAACAAAACACACAGAGAGAGATGGAGGAAAATTGCCAACCTACTGGGAGCCAAAAATCCCCAGTCAGGCCATTAAATGTGGAAGTTTCTCGGTTGCTGCTGCTGCTGCTGCTCCTGCTGCTTCTGCCGTTGGGAATTGCCAGGAGAGTAGGAGTAGGAGATGGCTGGCAGGCTGCAAAGTTATTAAATTTCACTTGGAATAACAACAGAAATAACAATAGAACACATCAAACTACGACTATGAAGTGAAGTGAAGTTTTGGTCATATTTTTATGGATACTTTTTGCCCGTTTCGTTTCAGGTCACGTCCTGGAGCTGGCCCAACAATCGGAGAACAAGACACTGACGGTCTTCTCAAAGGTCTACATACGAATGGTGCCGCTGTCGGGGATGATGATCCGCCAGTTGTACACAGAAATCATGAAGTACGTATTCCCGCACAGATACCCGGCAGTACCCGCGTAGCTAATCCCTGTATCTGTATCTTCTTGGGTGTAGCCACCTGAACTACATCTCCAACTATACGAACAGCAATGGCCAGATGGGCGGCAAGGCCAGCATTGGCAACCTACGCAACGGCCTGGAGGATGCCGTGCACAAGTTCTTTGTGCAACTCTTTCCCGTGGCCTACCACCAGGCGGTGCATCTCGCGAAAAACAATTACGGGGAGCTGCACGAGGACTACATCAACTGCCTGAAGCACAACTTTGACGAGCTGCAGCCCTTCGGGGGCATACCCAGGGAGATCCAGAGCAGCCTCGTCCACAGCGTTCACATGTCGAACGTGTTCATGAATGCCCTGCTCCAGAGCGCCGAGGTGCTGAGCGAGGCGGATGCCCTCTACGGCCAGCAGCTGACGGACACGTGCAAGATGCACCTCCTCAAGATGCACTACTGCCCCAACTGCAACGGCCACCAGACACGCGGGCAGCCGCAGATTTGCAACGGCTACTGCATGAACGTGATGCGGTAAGTGCCAGCAGGAGAGCAGCGCCCATCGCGAGTTCTAAATTCTAATCCTTGTGCTTCCTCCTCCTCCTCCTCTTAGCGGCTGCTCGGCGGAATACGCTGGTCTGCTGGACAGTCCCTGGTCGAGTGTGGTGGAGGCTCTGAATAATCTGGTCACCACCCACATCGTCACCGACAGCGGCATCATCAACACCATCATGAAGCTGAGCACCAAGATCTCCGATGCCATCATGCATGCCATGGGCAATGGTCCGGAACTGGAGCAGAAGGTTAGTAGAGGGGGAAGCTAAGGGGGATATCTAAGGGATATCTCTCCGATATCCATGAGATATTTTTGCATGTCTGGGACTCTCTTTTTCCGTTGGGTTTCCTGTCATTTCCTGATGCGATCGATGCGATTGTCGTTTGTGCTTTTGGGGCACAAGGACACACGTTCGCTTAATGATTTAATTGCTCTTTAATTTATGAACATTTTAAATGAATTTAATGAATAAATGCCCGCTGCATTCAGTTCCGGCCTTCAAGAGCGGACTCCGATGTTGCATGCAGCTCCAAAAACGAAAACAAAAATAAAAAGTACCCGAACGAGGAGTATTTGCGGCATTTCGAGGGCTTGTTAAATGTGCACATGACATTCAATTAAAGTGCAGTCGTATCCCATCCCATCCTCTGTACCTCCCTCCCTCTTTTTTTCCGCCTGTGATCTGCCACATCCCTGCTTGACTCCTTGCCTTCCTGCCTTCTTGCCTGTGTGGCTGCTCCACAGTCGCATAATTGGCATGTTGAAGTGCATTTAAAATGCTAAATTAGATTGCATTCATGCCCCATCCCCCTGTCCAGCTGCAATTTACATGCAGGGCAGCGCACGCTCCGAGAGCTTAATGATGAGGGACGTGAGGACGGATGGGGGGGTCTGCCTGCCCCACACACGTGCACCGTTGCATGCGCGGCAGCGATTAACACACAAAAGAACCCAAACTTAAACAGCAACTTCCACTTCCCCCATACCCATACCGTTCGCAGGTTAAGAAGACATGCGGCACGCCCAATCTGTCGCCCTCGCTGACCGACGAGCCGGAGACGCGGCTGCAGCAACACAAGAACAACGCCAAGTGGGCCACGCCACCGGATCCGGACATGGTGCGCTTCCTCTCGACCATCGAAAAGACCAAGGAGTTCTACTCGAATATTGTGGACAAGTGAGTAACAAGCCAAGCAAAGGCAAACAAGCCAAACGATGCCACAAATATAGTGTGTAGTGGGGGGCATCCGATATATCTGGGAGTTGCATCCATTCGAAAACAGGACTAGTGTCAGTGCCGAGACCGAGTATATCTGCCGAATGAGTATAGCAGAATAGATATGTTCCAGCAAACTGAATTCAGATAAAACAGATCTATAACTTACCAGAAAAGACATTGAAAACATGGCCGTAGTAAAACTGATTATGGCCATGATGATGTCTTCAGTCATGTTTGACTCTGACTAGACAAACCCAAACTATAGCCCAGGCCTGATAATATATTGGAATTTCGCTATGTTTTTAGCTTCTGTGATAAGGAGTACACCACCGATGATCGTCTCTGCTGGACAGGCGATCGCATTGGCGACTACACACAGCTGCTGATCGACACTGGGATGGACAGGCAGCGATACAATCCCGAAGTGCCCTGGAAGACCCAGACGCAGGTCAGCAAGCTGAACGAACTGGTGGACAAGCTCATCAAGATACGCAAGAGCATTGGAGCAGCGGTACGAAAATAAATACAGCCCCTCCCCAAAAGAATATTCACTAAAGTAAATATTTCACTTGGCAGGCACCCTCTTCGAGCATACAGTCGCATGACATCCAAAGCGACATGGGCCGCGAGGGTTCCGGAGGCGGCGGCGGGGGCCAAATCAGCGACGATGATGAGGAATACGGCGGCGGCATACACGGCTCCGGCGATGGTTCTGGCGATGGTAAGTCCCCGAATCAAGATATATTTTGTGTGTCACTTATTAACCTTTTTGATACTTGCAGGTGCCACAACCATTGACGATCCCGCTGGCCCACCGCCCGTAACCGGCACTGAGCAGCGCGACAATAACCAGAGCGGCGGTGCGTCCAATCCCTTGGCAGCCACTGCAACGTGCCTGCTCCTCACTCTAGTCACAATACTCTACAGGAGTTGTAGTTAAGGCAGCGACAAAGGATAGAGGATAAATAAATGCCCAAACAGCAACAGCAGCAACAGCAGCAACAAGAGCAACAGAAACCGATAGATGGCAGAAAATGCACGCGAGAGAATCGATTAAAATCATTAATTAATAACTATTATCATTATTATTATTATTATTATTTGTGTAATTCTTAAGTTGTTACAAAACGTAATTTATTAGCCCCGTAAGCCCCCCTCCCGCCACCCAGCAATCAACTAACGAAACAAACAAAATAAGGGAGTTTCGGAGCGGAGCAGAGCAGCGCCCCTTCTAGCTTTTCCATTTCCATAAAACGAATTTCCCCATGCAGCAGCATGCAACTCTCCAACAAGACTTATGTGCCATAAAAAAGAGTGTGGAGAGTGGAAATGTGTGTCTGTGTCTGCCAAAACGAAGAAAGGAAGGAAAACCCCAAAATTTAAAAGTTAAACAAAATACATAGGCTCAAACTCAAACCCACAAGCAGAATAGGAATACGAATAGAAAAGGAATGGAGTGGAGTGTGTGTGCAGTTTGTTCAGATAAATGTTAATACTACTACATACATACATACTTACAAGCTACATATACATATACTATTTATAGCGTAGAGTACAGTAAAGCTCAATGTTCAAAGTACATGTTGTTCCTTCTTGAAATTTAAATTAAAATTGCGAAAAGAGAAAAGCACACAGAGAATATTCGAAAGGAAGAAAGTTCACAAAATAGTATACATACATACGGAATACATACGTAAAGTAAAGCAAATATAAATCTGTTAAATTAATATGAAATTATAATTGTTGTCGTCTACACACACACACACACATACACATACACATTTTGAACTGAACAAAAAACATTTGAGAAGAATAATGCATACAAATGGAATTTAGTTGAGTAAAAAAGCACTTTACGGGAAAAACTAGAAGACTTACAGCTTTATACGCAAGAAAAAAATAAACAAAAACAAAAAAAATAATACTGAAAAATGAGAATCGATTGATATATATATATATATATATATATATATATACATATATATACGTACATTATATGTAGCATTATTTAAATTAGAGAAGGAAATGTCATTGGAAATGCATTCAGCTAATTAGAGTTTACGAAAGTTATGTGTGAATGGATCGTTTTGTAACTTTAAGTTTTGGGTCTGAGTACAGCGCACAAATCACAATTTGAAATGGAAACGAAACGAAACGAAACGCAATTCGCATTCTAAACGAAACACGAGGAAAACAAAAAACTATTGTTGCAATCTAACGGATACTTTAGACAGTGTTGCAAAGCGCTGGGCGACACTCTAAAAAATATATAAATATTATTATATAGTATACAAAAATGAATATGAAATATGCATAAATACGAGTACGATTGTACGATAAGAACCATATACATGAATTAACTAATTAAATCGTAATATAATGCTAGGGCGTAAACTGTAACGATTTAGCCAGTAATGTGTAAAAAGCAAACAAAACAGAGTTGGACGGAGAGAAACAAAAACAACAAACAATTTAGTTAGTAGCAAATTAACAAAGCAAAAGGCAACAAAGCAACCACCATAAAACCATAGAAGACGAAAAACCATACAATCAAATTGGTCTAAAAAGCGCTACAATCAGTGTGTGTGTGTGTTTTATGGGTTGTGTGCGTTTTGAACTACATATTGTATGAATAATTATTATTTGTATCATTATTATTTAACTATTGCATGTGATTAATAATATTTAAGTTAAACGTAAACGCAACATATTAAATTGTAACTTATGTATACCGCAAAACAGCAAAACAGCAAACAACAACGTCATCGTCGTTTTAAATCTATTCGAAAGATAACCAATGCAAAAAAAAAAACAAAAACAAACAAACAAAAAAAGGAAAACGAAAAAAAATTGCACAAAAAAATAATTAAATGTACTACTTTTTAGATGCATAAAAACAAATAATAAATAATTATGTAACAAAACACAATGCAAGTCCAAAAAAAAAAAACAACGTTGATTGAGAACAAATTGAGTCGAAATGCCACTCGTATGAGTAATTTGAATGTAATTGCAATTGATAAAAGTACAGTACAGACTTTTGTAAATTTCATTTAAAACCGCAATAAACGTCAATATCTAAAATTCACATTGAGCGGCGTGGCCATTTTTAAATAGCCAATTTAATAAAGTGTTGGCCAAAACAGTTCTCCGTCATGCATCTCCCCCCCTGTGGCTGTGCAGGCAGGACAGGATCATCTACACAACGCAGCACTGATACTACAAAGGTTCTGATATTCAGGTAAATCTATGGGACTACATAAAGTGGGAAGTGGTTGCTTACACAAACAGTGTAAATAATATTTTAAGTAGTTTTTGGGTTGCATATTATGTATTCCTTCTTCCTCCACCATCCCCTTCAGACAGAAAAATATTACATTCCCGATCTTTCACCGATTTTGACCAAACAGCCTGAGATGGGTTTTGGGACTTCAGGTACATACCAGAGCATTATATGTTATAGTAAATATGTACGAGGTATGTACAGGCAGCGCTACAATCCGTTCGCTCCATTAAAGGGAAGACCCAGGCGCAGGTCAAAAAGCTGAATGTCCCTCAAAGCGTTCTGCCTTCGCCAACCTTGATCAACTATGGATAACAGCACTACACCACCAATGCAAACAAATGGCATAACGATGCTACACAAACATTTATTGAGCGGTGTTTTAAGCTACATACTTATGTATGCATGTGTATGTAGTAATCTGAAGGAGCTTTCAGAGACCACCCTATATATTTTGAGACGCAACTGCATCCATGGCATCTATTCTTGCGTCATCTTGTTGGTTATGTCCTTCAACAAGATGAAGGCATCCTTCAGCAGGCAGACATAGAGGGGCGAGAATATAGCCGCAAAGAAGATCACATTAGCGAAGGTGCTATTCTTGATCGGAGCACGGCACCCCTGATGAAGATTCAATCAGATCAGATCTCACATCAAACCACTCGAAAACTTACCCCGCGTGTCATGGTTGTCACAGGACGTGTCGAGATTAGATTGTGTGCTACCTGGTGGACGCACTGGATTATGCACTGGAAAGGCATCTTGAAGTCGTCCAGGGAAATGTTTTTTAAAATATTCAAAATATAATTTTTGGAGAACAAACGATGTTATCGGGTTAAGTTGCCGAATAGTTGTGAGACTGACTGACTGCCCCCAAAACCTATAACTAGGGTATTGTAAGCTAAGGGTACTAAGATTAATAATTTTATATTTTTGTGGTGCCGTAAATTGGGGTACGTTAACTAATTCCAAATTTAATTTAATAATTTATGTTCCTAGCTTCATTTAAACGACAGTATAAATAATTTAAACTTAGGCGGTCCATTTCCAGCCAGGTGGCAACGTCACAGCGAGGTGAAAATAGTATTTTATAATCTGGCAGCCCGTCACGCCGTACGATATTTTTGACAAATATCGAACAGCGATAGATCGGACCATCCGATATCTAGGATAGCACCTTCGATAGGTGCATTAGATATCGCTTCTACTAACTACATGTCGTGTCCGATTATACATGAATTATACATGCTCTTGAAAAGACGATTGTTTACCAACACTGCATAAGACCCATGTTTTTAGTATACCAGCACTGCATATATGCTTTGGCCGTTTTTGTTTGAACCTTAATATGTAAACAATCCAATGAAAAAGAGTTCTAAAAACTAACCAATCCTGAACAAAATTTATGTATCTATCGGATAAAATTATTTGTTTAGAGCTGAGAGTCCCAGCTAGCTTGTAATATTAAACTGAATATCAAAATCGAGTAAGCTATTTTTTCTCGGTTTCTGAGGTTTCTGAGGTCACTCAAAATACAAATCAAGTGAAATATTAATTTTTCCAAATATTAAGACAAATTTTAAATTGACCGCCAAAATTTAGCGCACCAACAATACATTTTTCGCTCTCAATTCGTGGAGAGTTTGCAAAACTCTCTCTCAATTCGTGGAGAGTGCTCTCTTTTCAGTGGAGAATAGAGTGATTTTGTGGAGACTTTCCCCTCATTTTCGTGGTGTGGCAGCATGCTGCTGAAATTTTTCCCATACAAAATCAAATGTATCTTACGGGAACGCGTATGGAATAAAGATTCATTGTTGCGTCATTCCATACGCGTTCCCGTATGATACATTTGATTTGTATGGGAAAAGCTTCAGCAACATGGGGAAATGAAGTAGCAGCATTGTTGTGCAACTTTGGCACGGAATGAGCAACAATCTGCATACCTTGGGAAAATGGGTATTATGGACTTGAGATATTGTTTGAATTTTCAGGCTCCAATTAATGCAGAAACTACTCAGTCTCTGTCCTAAAGATTTTGCAGCTCACGACTACCAATAATAGGTATCAGAAACGGGATAAATGTATTTATAACACACAAACATGTGCATTAATATGTAAAAAACATGTCAATCTAGGATAAAATCATAAATAATGTTTCAATGGAGCTTGCAACAAAACATTTAACACCAATTAAAAGAAGTAAGGTATACAAAAGTACATACGCATAGAAAATACTTGGTTGACCAGCAACACTGACGTAACATTTAGTCAACATTTAAGTTTTATGCTTTGGCCGTTTTTGTTTGAACCTTAATATGTAAACAATCCAATAAAAAAGAGTTCTAAAAACTAACCAGTCCTGAACAAAATTTATGTATCTAACGGATAAAATTATTTGTTTACGGCTGAGAGGGCCAACTATCTAGTAATTTTAAACTGAATATCAAAATTGACGAATTTCATATCACAAAATATCACGGTATGGCAGCCCGCAGCAACTACGAATTGCACGAGTCTGGCAGCGCCACAAAACGACGACAAATTCGTTTTATGCTGTTTTTGTTTGAACCTTAATATGTAAATAATCCAATAAAAAGGACTTCTGAAAACTTGCCAATCTCTTAAAAAATGTATGTATCTATCGGATAAAATTACTTTTTTAGGGCTGAGAGTGCCAGCTAGCTGGTAATATTAAACGGAATATCAATATCGAGGAATATCAACGTCTTGTCGTGTCCGACAGTATATTTACGGTATATTTTGATAATGGCATGGTATGTTTAGGCATATTTCTAAGGGTAAAGCGGTATATTTTATCCATAAGTCTTCGGTCACACTACATCCGACGTGCATTGGCATTTTTGGCGGGACATTATTTTCGCAAGCCGCGCGCTACAAAAACCAACCTTGTGCAGCTGCTGTCCACAGTTTAATCCCATTCAAGATCTAAGCAATTGAAAGAACAGCAAAATGGCACGTCGCGACTATGCCCAGGACAGAGGTGAGTGTTGAATCAAAGAAGAGGCTGCGGCACCCACAAAAACCATGTCCATGTCCACGCAGAATCCATCAAAACCTTCCTGTCGGAGTTTTGCAAGTGCGACGATGACGGCAAGAAGCAGTTTGTGTATGGCTCGCAGCTGGTGAAGCTGGCGCATCGGGAGCAGGTTCTGATCACCATTGATTTGGACGATCTGTCGGAGTTCAATGAGAGTCTGGCCGAGGCGGTGATCGACAACTGCCGACGCTACGCTGGCATCTTCAGCGATGTGATTGCCGAGCTGCTGCCCAGCTACAAGCAGCAGGAGGTGCACGCCAAGGACGCCCTGGATGTGTACATTGAGCATCGCTTGATGATGGACGCCCGCGTGCGAAATCCCATGGAGCAGCGCGATGAACGCAACAGCTTCCCCTCAGAGCTGATGAAGCGATTGTGAGTAAGCCCCCAGAAAACCTCAGCCAAGCGGAAATCTCTGAATCTGTATTCAATTTGCAGTGAGGTGGGCTTCAAGCCAATGTCCACGGAGAAGGCCCATTCCATACGGGAGGTGAAGGCCCAGCACATCGGCAAGCTGTCGACTGTACGCGGCATTGTGACGCGCTGCACGGAGGTGAAGCCCATGATGGTCGTGGCCACATACACTTGCGATCGCTGTGGCTCCGAGACGTACCAGCCGGTGAGCTCGCTCTCCTTCACGCCCGTCCACGATTGTCCCTCGGACGATTGTCGCGTGAACAAGGCGGCCGGTCGTCTGTACCTGCAGACGCGTGGCTCCAAGTTCGTCAAGTTCCAGGAGCTAAAGATGCAGGAGCACAGCGACCAGGTGCCCGTCGGCCACATTCCGCGCAGCATGACGGTGCTCTGTCGCGGCGAGGTCACCCGCATGGCCCAGCCCGGCGATCACGTAGTTGTCTCTGGTGTGTTCTTGCCTTTGGTGCGCAGCGGATTTGCCCAGATGATCCAGGGACTGCTCTCGGAGACTTATCTGCAAGCCCACGTGAGTTCACTGCCGGAAGAGCCACTTAAATTCGATCTAATCTCTGCCATTTCTGTCACAGCGCATCATTTGTATCAATAAAAATGACGATATCTCGGACAAGGAGGCCGAATTGACGCCTGAAGAGCTGGAGGAACTGGCCCAGGACGATTTCTATGAGCGTCTGGCCACCAGCTTGGCGCCTGAAATCTATGGCCATTTGGACGTGAAGAAGGCCCTGCTGCTGCTGTTGGTGGGTGGCGTCGACAAGCGGCCGGACGGCATGAAGATTCGTGGCAATATCAACATATGCCTAATGGGAGATCCTGGCGTGGCCAAGTCGCAGCTGCTGGGCTACATAAGTCGGCTGGCGTTGCGCTCGCAGTACACCACAGGCCGTGGCTCCTCGGGGGTGGGTCTGACGGCGGCCGTAATGAAGGATCCCCTCACTGGCGAGATGATGCTTGAGGGCGGCGCCCTGGTGCTGGCTGATCAGGGCGTTTGCTGCATCGACGAGTTCGACAAGATGGCGGACACCGATCGTACAGCCATCCACGAGGTGATGGAGCAGCAGACCATCTCCATTGCCAAGGCGGGCATCATGACCACGCTGAATGCTCGCGTTTCCATTCTGGCCGCTGCCAATCCCGCCTTTGGCCGCTACAATCCGCGTCGCACGGTGGAGCAGAACATTCAGCTGCCCGCCGCTCTGCTCTCACGTTTCGATCTGTTGTGGCTCATCCAGGACAAGCCGGACCGCGACAACGATCTGCGCCTGGCCAAGCACATCACCTACGTGCACTGCCACAGCCGGCAGCCGCCCTCGAGGGTCAAGTCTCTGGACATGCACCTCATGCGGCGCTACATCAACCTTTGCAAGCGCAAGAACCCCACCATTCCGGACGAGCTCACTGACTACATTGTGGGTGCTTATGTGGAGCTGCGTCGCGATGCCCGCAACCAGAAGGACATGACCTTCACCTCGGCCCGAAACCTGCTCGGGATTCTGCGCCTCTCCACGGCCCTTGCTCGCCTGCGTCTCTCCGATCGCGTGGAGAAGGACGACGTGGCAGAGGCTCTGCGTCTTCTGGAGATGTCAAAGGATTCGCTCAACCAGACGCACGAACACCAGAAGGGACAGTGAGTATTTTGCCATATCCCCAGCACAAGTTTAGGTTCTTACAGCTCGGCTATTTGCATTTTCAGTGTGCCAAATACATCGGATCGCATCTTTGCCATCGTTCGGGAGTTGGCCGGTTCGGGCAAGGCCGTCAAGATTGGCGACATCATGGACCGTTGCACGACAAAGGGCTTCAAACCCGACCAAGTGGACAAATGCATCGACGACTACGAGGAGCTGAATGTCTGGCAGGTGAACATGGGACGCACAAAGATAACGTTCATGTAAATGGGCCGATCAGAGACTTTATCCTCCTATATTCTCTTTTTATAATTAATTAGTTGGTACGTACGTTTTGTGTATTTTGATTAATTTTATAGCCCTTTCGCCACCATTATTCCACGTTCTCATGCATTGAAATATTATTACCATCCATCATCGATCATTCTCGTAAATAAATAAGGATATATAACTGATATCTCTGGCATCAAAAGTCGTAGATTTGCCAGGGGATAAATTGACTTTATTTTATGGATTTCAAAAAGACATCAAAACAACAATGAAGAAAGTCCACTAAGTGCATTTGAAACTACATTCTTCCGTCCTGGTCCTTGCCTATAAATTCGTCAATGGTTCCTTTGAGGAGCACCTCATGCATTTCGATACCGATCCTCGTCCCTAGTGAGACTATAAATTATACACACACACACACACACAGACACGCAGACACAGATACACACAGAGAGAGAGAGAGAGATAAATGGAAACATTTCG